CTCCTGGGCCGGCGGGGCCGCCATCTTGGCCCTCCACCGGCGCAGGACGGAAACTACCGTTCCCACAAGGCCTCTCGGCACTCCCGGCATCCTGCACACGAAGCCGCGTCCCCTTCTCCCTCCGCCCCGCCCCCCGCCTACACTACATTTCCCGAGGGGCGCTGCGGCGGCGCGTTGCCAGGGGGACGCGGGACGCGGCGCCTGCGTGGGCGATGGACGCCTCCTTACGGCAGCGCTTCTTCACGTCAAGGGAGGTGGCGGTGCACAACCGGCCGTGGGACCTTTGGGTCTCTTATTTGGGGCGGGTGTACGACCTCAGCCCCCTGGCCGAGCAGTACAAGGGTAAGGCGGGTGGGGCTGCGGGGGCGCCAGAGCAGAGTGGAACCTCCAGGCGGAGAGGCAGTCTACCTGGAGGGGAGAAGGAGGAAGGCATTTCCAGTCGGGCCTTTTGCTGGGAAATCGCTGCTTGCACGGGTGGTTATCCGAAAAGGGGTGGAAAGACGGGCAGTAAGGGAAGAAAGGAGCTGGAGGGCCAAATTCAAGGCTCGGCTGCTGGACCCAAAGCCCGGTGTGGCTTTGCAGGGGAGGTAAAAAAAGTCAAGATGGCGGCCACAACCACGCAGTGACAGCCCCACCCCCTTTTGACATGCATCGCTGCACACAGCCACAAAGCCGGGGCTTCCATCATGTGGTTGTGGCCGCCATCTTGACCTTTTTGACCCCCTGCGGGCTCCCAGGCCGCTTGCAGCCTTTGCTCTGGGGCCACTGGATCCCCTCCAGCACATAGCAGCAGGGGACGGGCATTTCCAAGGGGGAGATCGACGAGACCCCCCAGGAACGGATTGCCTGAGTCACTCCGTGCAGCTGAGGGCTAAGCGGCGTCTCTCTCTCTCTGTCCAGGGGACCTCCTGATGAAACCTCTCCTCGAAGCAGCAGGAAAAGACATCAGCCACTGGTTCAACCCCAAAACCAAAGACGTGAGTATCTGCAGCTGCACCGGGAGGCAAGGTTTCTGCCCATCCGGCGAGGCCGGGCAGAGTGGGCACGCGTCAGGCCCGGTTGATAAAACAGGGTCCCCTTGCGGGACCCAGGAAGCGGGCTTCTGGGATGCCTGTCCCCCCCGGCCCTGAAAACCTGGCCCTGCGTTAGCCTGGTGTGATACGTTGGTTTTCTGAACGGTTGTTGGCTTTTCTCTGGACTTGCCCTCTTTGGCTGTGCAATTCTTTCTTTTAACCTCCTGTCTCGATGGTTGCATCCCAGAGTTGCGGCAGGTTGGGGCAGCCTATAAATTCCACGAAGAAGTAAATTGCTGGGTGATGTTCAGAGGCAGGCTGACGTTCTGAATATGGGTACTCAGAGGTATATGGGTTCCATGAGAGTTATTGACTGGCTTCACAAAATATGCTAGGGGAGGGCTAAAACGGGGTTGGGTAGTTCAGGGGGCTGTGGGAACCCAGCCAGGGGTGTGTGCCCCAGACCATGTCATAAACCCACAAAATAGCGTGTTTGGGCATCACGTGTGATGTGAGCACAGCAGTGGTGTTTTCTTCACCTGGATTAGGGTTTAGCCCAGTGTTTCTCAACCTTGGCAACTTTAAGATGCGTGGACTTCAACTCCCAGAATTCCCTAGCCAGCCATGCTGGCTGGGGA